GCAACTGTGAATAAAGCAAATATGTTGTATTTGACATGTTGCAGTGGTCTGACAGTTGACCTGTGCATGTAGTCTTCTGTTTTCAGCTGGTTGATTCTCATTATGCACTTTGGTATGAATTTCCACTATGCTAGAACTGTATTTTATATTTTAAAACTTGATAGTTTGCTGTTACTTATGTCCTGAAAGGAATCCATCCGATACCTCCTTATATTTGTTGTCAGAATTCATCAGCATGCTATTTAGTGTGCATAAGCAGTTACCTAAAGCATCACGTTAGGTGATTCCCCCAAATCAGTTATTCAGGAACATTATTAGAAACTTCCCTTCGATCCCATAGTTTCCATTCTAATAGAGTCCAGCTTTGCTCCTGTAGCTGGTTCTCTTGCACTTTAGATTCTTGTATGAATCTCTGCATTGTTGGAACTATCTTGTTCAGGTTAAATATAGTGCAGTTCCTTTGTTTAGAAAATCACAAAAAATCAGCCAACTTAAGTAAAATTTCCTGTGCTGTGGTTTATCCTTTTAATTATTATTTTCTTCAAAACCTAGTCTAAAACCTTTCAAACTGTCGAGGTTAGACTAACAAGTTTGTAATTGACTGAACCACACTTCCCCTCTAAAAATGTGTAGTGCTGCATGTGGAGAAGTTCACATTGAACCTTGGACTATTTTGTTCTTTATATGAATTCTAGTTGATTACAAAAACATGGGTTCTGCAATGCAGTTACCATGCTTAGCATAATCTTTCTTCATGATGGATCTGTTCCCTGACTCTTATGCAGGCTGTGTGGTATCAGGACCTGGATCAGAACACCCTTAGAGCTACCCTTCGGATACCATGTCTGGCTTCCTTGTCTCTGGAATTCTTCTTAGGAGGCTTTCTTCTGGCCTGAGGTGTGAGATCCAGGAAAAGGTTTATAATCTCATTTGACTTGTGTATGCTTGCAATGCCCTTTTGAGGCTGAGATTCCTCCAGAGCTGCTTTAGCACAGTATTGTGTTGCCTTATGCCAGTTTGTTTGGCTTATGTTTACTAAGGTTCTTCTTTTAGAGCCATATATTATATCACCTTTTAAACATGCTATTTTTAGTAACTACTTGTTAGTCCAAAAATGTCTAAATTAGGAGTCCTTAATAGTGTCTGGGTTTTGTAATTCGTTTGACAAAAGTGATTTTTTTACAACTTTTTAAAATAAGATTTTTTTCATCAAGATGGATTACTTAATTTTTGCCTTTTAGCTATAACCTTATTTTTTGATTAGTTAGAGAAGAATGTTCTCAGCATTTTGCTTTAACATGAAAATGTTAAATAGTTACTAACTGTAGCAGCATGTTTTTATTTAGATCTGTTTTCTAGACTAATTTAAAGATGAAAAATAAATGTCTTAAGATAGTGGAAATCAGAGTGTTGCAATTGCTGTGATTTTTATTGAGGTTTGTTTGGAGAAACATTAAAAGCTAGTGTTTTAAATGTTTAAATATAATTGCACTGAAAGTGCTAAAACAGTTTATCAAAATAAGATTTTAATAGTAGCTGATCTGATAAATGATACATCAACCACCATATGCAGATAATGAGTAAAATTGTCGAAGTTCCTAAAGAGATTTAAGTGGGTGACTTCTGTTAAAATTGGTGGAATTCAAAATGACTGAGTTATCAGTAACCCAAATTAGGCAAACTGTTGTAGTTGTTACATGTTAGGATTTTGAAGAGCAAATAAGTTAGGTTCTGTACCACAATGATCGCAGAAAAATCTAATCCCAGATATTTCAGGCTTTCAAAATTAATTTCTTTTAATAATAGATCAGACAGATGAAAGTGAACAATCCTTCTTCCTCAGCTCAGTTGAGGAACAGAGGTGGTTCTGATGAACATTCTGCCTCTGTTTACTGAAATGTGAAACTCGGTGAAAACTGAAGTGGAAACTTTGTACAACAAACCATATTTTCTAGGCATGGGTATACAAAAATGACAACTTCTGACCCATTGCAAAGGTAGATACATATTTGATGTTAACCTATAGAGAAGGCATGAATGAACCTATATGTAATTACAGTTTAAATAAATCCCTACTTACTGTGTTTTCCCATGACTGCTTTTGAATCTGAGTCAATGTTTCTACAGTCCTGCCTACTCCCCAGTCTTTTCTGGCTTGCATCTTCTTTCTTTACACTTGCATTGAGCCATCAGTATTTTGGCTAAGCCATTTTATTTATATATATTTATATATATACACACACAAACACACACACACACTTATATTTGTGTATATGTATATAAATACATATACACATATTTGTGTATATGTATATAAATAAATATACACATGTATTTGTGTATATGTATATAAATACATATACACATATACATGTTAAAAAAATAATTAAGGAGTTTAGCTCTCCTAAGCTTCTAGTAAGCTGGATCAATTAATACCATGAGTGGTATATGAGAGTGACTGGGATTGCACAGGAGAAAGGTGGTGCCACAGTAATGCCATCAAAATTTGGCTTAAATTTTTTGGGGAATGTATGTCTTGGTAAAGCTGAAGATGTGGAATGTCCCTCTTCCAGAAGCTTTTTGACATGAGAGTTGGTGGCATGCTTTTGCTGCTCAATAATTTTGGAGTCTGTAAGCTGAAGCTCCAAATCAATTGTGAGAAATCTGTAAATGTTCAGAATTCTTATATAATGTTGACTGGAACATTGAGAACAAAGTTAATTATTTATTATGCTTGTACTTCTGATTATCTGATTGCCATTACGTGCTTTACAGAATCACATGAACCACATGTAAAGTAAACATGTAGGGGAATTTAAGTTGAGGATCATATTTACAATTTCTTCCTATGCCTTGAGCATAAGGTCAAACGTTAGGAGGCTTACTGAATAGTGACAGTTGTCAGCTTCATCAGGACAAGGCTGCTTCATGAGGTTTATGTGTCAAGACTTTTAAGGTTGACATGCAGTTGCGAGAAGTAGCGCGTGGTTTCCTTTAGGTAGGCTATCATACATTTGTCTGCCTCCGGTTTTCTTCTGTGTCTTTCTGGACCGTCTGACTTACCAGAGTAAGAGTACTGGAGTGAATGGATACTGTCTGTGACCAAGCATAGCTTTCCTTAGGTTTACTCATGGTATTTTGTCAAAAAATTCAAACATCCTTCAAATCTTTTTTGATAAAACATGGCTTGTATCAAAGCCAATGGAAGAGGAAGCTTTGAATTTATTTCCATAATGCATCATCATGATTCTCCTAGCTCCTGTTGCACTATGCTAAGCAGACTAGCTGTTCAACCTTGGTTCTAGCTTCCAGCCTGCAAGTGGCACTCTGCATAACCTCACTCCTTTCCCTCTTGCCCCCATGTATCTGTAAGGGTAAGAATATACTATCATCTAAAATAAATTCCTTGTCAAGTAAGATGCTAAAAGGATGAATCTTCAGGCAAACTTCAGAAAGGCATGTAAATGCAACCGAAAATCTTGTACCAGTGGAGGTACTGTGGAGAAACAGTGACTTTGACTGTGCAGTCAACCAGTCCCTGAATTAAGAGTTGAAGTGAATTAGTACTGCTCCTGGCTACTTTGTAATAGTCTTTGCCAGTGCATATAGGCATCACTTAAATGTTTTGAGTAGAAAGTTCAAAATCTTGTGTCCTGGGACCTTACTTAAATAAATCTTACTCCGTGGTCAGAACTTTGAGAAAATACCTCAGTTGCTGAATCAACCAGGAAATAGGAAAATGGGGAGGGGGGGGGGGGGGGGAGGTGAAAGTTAACATCACATTAGAAAGTAACCAGTCATCATGGTCCTAAAACTTTTTTGTTAGGGTGCATGTGGTTTTAGTATGTATCTTGTGTGGAGAAAAGCTTGTGGACTTCCTCATTGACTTTTAGACTTTTGCAGATGTAATATTGATTAGAAAGCAGAATGACCTTTGAATATTCGGCAGAGTAAATCAATTCAGTTTTGGGAATCGTGTGGAAGCCTACAGTCAGTCTGGCTGTCAGTACGTGATTGTATGTTAACAGCTGTTAACATAGAGTACCATTTTTTTTTATTTTTTTTTTTATACTGCTGAAATAGATTTTGAAATTTTTAGCTTTGTTTTACTTTTCAGGAAACTTGGAGTTCAGGCTTTGCTTTCTTGTTGAACTTGTTTTTGCTAATACAGTTTAGTTCAAGGTGGGAGATCTGGCAAACAGGAATTTTCAAAGATCTAGATATATGGAGGAAATTACTTTCTCTTAATATAAGTAATTTATTTTGTCCAATAGAAATTATTTTTCCTATGTATTTTATTTGAAATGGAATAATCTGGTAATCTGAATGTCTCAGGAGAACCGATTCTAGGTAGAAATTGCACACGTGGTTCTCTATTTTCCTACTTGTTCAGAGAGAATATAGTACAATATGGGCTTGAAGAGAAGCTTGAGATGTAACATCAGAGCAAAACTACCTTGTAATTTGTACATCAGAGAATTATATCCTAGATGGCATCATTATTTGAAAAATTTACATGTTTTGCATATTAAAAAAATATGACCTGTCTAGAGATTTTCTTCAATGTTTAATTGTTTTATTCATTTTTTTTTTTAAATTAAAGTAACTGACTGTGAATCATTTGATGAAAATTAAGTATGAGAGTAAGTTATACAGTAAGTAATCCTCTCTTTTGAGACCTGGGTTCAAATATAACTTTTATCACAAGTGAAAGTGAGTTTTATAATCTAGTTTCCTTTGTAACTAAGTCATTTAAGTCAGCATTGCTACTGTCTTAAGAATACCAATTTAAAAATTTGTTAATTACCTTGTTTGAAGTGAATGTATCCAGTTCCAGTCATACTGTACCTGACTTCTGTTCCCTCATTTTAATAAGTACTAAAATTTTCACTCTCTAAAATGAGACTTTAACTGCAGTGATGGTTGTTCCTAGAAATAATGGGTTTGGATAGGCTTTTATGTATTTAGTAAAAAACTTAAAAATTCCTTTGTTTTATTAGGAGTCCACATCTCCAGTTGTTTCACCACAGCAATCCCCACCAACCTCTCCACATACATGGAGGAAGCACAACCGCCATCCCAGCGGAGGGAATAATGAACGACCTCTTGCTGGACCTGGGCCTTTTTGGGCTCCATTTAGTGAAGCACAACCAGGTATAAATGTCTTCTGTTATGCTTCAGCTGTAACCCAAAGTTGTGAAATTCTTAAGTGTATTAAATGAGTTTAGAGCAGTTTATCTTTGTATTTTTCAATTGTGGAAACTTTCTTGCAGATTCAAATGTTCATGTGTACAGCAGCTCTGTGGAATCTGCCATCTTGCATATGGCGGATCCATTTCTTAGTGTGGTATAGGAAATGCTTTCCCTCCTTCCAAACTTGGAGGGAGGGAAAGACAATATGGAAGTTTCCCAGTGGAAAGCTTTCTAATACAAAACTGACGTGTTATTGAAACTGTGCAGGAACTGTCAGTAAACCCAAAAATGTGGGGAGCTCAAGGGAAAGCAGCAGGTAATGTTGGTTATTTGAATTATGTTTCTGCTAGATTAGATGAATTGTCAGAACAACTAATTATCTTAACTTTTTTTCACTTTGTTTATGTAAACATACCTGAAGCTGCTGTATCTCCATTCTGCCAAGGTAGAACTGCTTGTTTCAGTACAACTATTTATCCTTTATTGTTCTTCATTTAACATGAAGACCCTCCCTGTTGTTCTATTGCTGTGCTCAGATTTAAAAAGCTTTCTCCCTTCATATCTCATATTTCAAAAAGTTCTGTTTTCTTTTCTGATATCCTGTAGACTTAAGAAATTTGGGAACAGCGGAGCAGTTCTAATTCAGGTTCTGTTTTTGATGATAATACTAAAGAATATGTTGTATTTTGTAGGCTGTAGTTTCACACTGAACTGTGGTTAGTTAGTTCGTTTCAGTTGTGATACTCCAAAATTGATCTGTTTGTTACCTTTCAGTTTATAGTTGTTCTGTAGTTACAAGCATTGATAGAGGACCAGGGATTCTGTTGTAAGAATTAGTTGGATAAAAAAATAAAACCTATTTTAGAAGTGAGATGAGTTGTACACAGAGGTTTATGCCAGTGTTCTGAATGATATTTTCTAGTAAGTGCCAGTCTATTTAGAATTTAAAAAATTAAGATTATTAGTCTGCTTGTTGCATATATAATCACTTCTAAGGGTTCAGTCCAGGCATTGTGATTTTTCAGCAGTCAATTTCTTGACTTTTTTTCTTCCCTAGTTTAGTTGATTTGCTTTTCTTGCAGTTTGTCTGGTAGCTGATTCCTAACTTGTGAAGTTTTTCTAACTTAGGAAGTCAAGGGTTCCAGGAAAATATGTAAACTATTCCTACTGTTGAAGAGTTTAATGTTGTGCTCTTAAAAATAAAGTTGAAATACCATGTTAATATTTCAGTTTGGCAATGCTTTCCCTGTGATATCTAATGTATACATTTTTCAGTAGTAGTTTGAAAATATTTCTGAACTAGTTCAATATTTGTTGGTTTTATATTCTGTACCAAAACACATTCATAGTGTGTTTGAAGTAATTTGGGGATACTGTTACAGAATGATTCTGTTCTGCCAATGCTAAGGATAGAGTGAATTTTCATATATTAGTTTAACAAAAATTGTCATCTTGATTCACTGTGTGATTTTTTTTTTTGCACTGAAGATGATTAATTATTCCTTTGAATTTCAGCTTTTGTAGACAGTTCATCATTCTTTTTCCCTCTTGAACCTGCTTTTTAAGGACAGTAGTTTGTAGAAAAACGATCTTCTGCTGACATTTAGGTAGAACCAGATAGACTGTTAGTTACTTTTCTCAAAATCTGCACTGCAAGTTGTTCTTGAGAAATAAGGTAATTTGCAAGTATATGATATTATTTCAGAAGGATTTAAGGCAGGGCTGTGCTATTTCACTTGTGATTCAAGAAAAATAAGAACCCAGGTCTCTGCTTGTATTTCACATTATGTTAAAACATGGTTGGGGAGTAATGGAGTTGTCAACTGAAAGCATGGAACCTCGGGAGTGAAAATGTTTCTGATGGGTCTAATAATAAACATCGTGTTGCCTTAAACCAGAAAGACAAAAATCAAAACAGAATTTTTTTGTTTGGGGAAAGATGTTTTTAAACAGGAAGATTCTGCCTTATGCATAGTAAAGACACTCCAATGCATCATTATACTCCCACAATGAACAAAACTAAATAATGCTTTCTGTATCAGTTTGGGCTGTACAATAATTATTAGGCAATGACTCAAGTGTTTTTATAAACTTACACCTTGTCTTGTATCAGAAGTCTTAAGTATAACTTACAACTGTAGTTCTCAATTTCTTGAGATGAGAACAGGTTTTCTTCCTCCACTGAGCAAAAGAATTTGGATTTTAAGAAGTTTTTGCAACTATGTTTTCCAGTAATTCAGTTAGGATAGTGTTAGTGATAAACTCTGAGGCGCTGTAATGACTAGCTCAGTGTGCTTACATGTATGTGACCTGAAATCAGAAGCCAAGGCTTGTTACCATCTTTCTTCAGGGCTTGTAAAGAGAGCCCCAAAGGGTACATGTATTTTACTTTAATATCAGGAATTAGAAGTTTGATGTCATATTGTTTCCCTGTGTAGAATGACATTTATAGTTCATTCGGGTTTCATCCTTAAATGTCTTGAGTCAACTGTATTAAAACCTGAGTCTCTCAAGTCTTCCAGGTGTCTTTGATTTAACAGTTTAAGATAAAGCAGTTCAAAAATCATCTTAGGTCTCATTTCTAGCTTGCATCTGTGATCTCTTTAACACTTCAGTCTTCACAGCATAATATAGTGGATGACCGAACCCTCTGTAGGAAACAATTGTGTATGAGTTGAGAGCCTCCTGTTTCTATAGTTACATGGGGGGTGGGGGGGGAGCTTCATACTTTTACCTTTTCAGCTCATTTTGCACTACAGCTTCAGCTGCTGGATTCTGACTGTTACAAACTTAGGAGAAAGAACCCCTTCCCCACTTCATATGATAGTTGAGTGGCATGTCAGAATAGGGGATAGAAACTATTTGTTATTATCTTGTTGTCTGTTTGGACTGGAAGCAAAGCAGAGCATTTATGTTGGTAGTAGCCAAATAATGATTTCAAACTAGTCAAAAATTCTGAGGTTTTCTGTTCAGGCATAGGTCCTGGTTGTTCAACCATAATACACTGGTTGTTCCGAGTCCTCTCAGTCACCCAGTGTCATTCCATCTTCCCTTCTACCTCAGTGTTCCCAGTCTGGTTTTGTAGTTTGAGAAGAAAGTGAGGGGTGACTATTTCTAATTCAGATGTCAAACAGATGTAGTTTTAATGACTGAAAATTGAGTTATTGACTGTTGTCAGTCCATGAGTATGTGTGTAGATCCAGGTGTCCAGTTACTGGTAATCCTCCAGCCTTTCCATGCTGTGTCCTAGAATGTTGCATTGCAGAGTGAATAACGGGAACAGAGTAAAGCCAGTAGTATTTTGCTGGGTTGATTTGAAGAGGAGAAAGGAAGCAGTTCTTGTCATACTTGTAAAGTACTCGGAAGGTATGACAGTTGGGTGCTGCTGGCATCTCCATTGCTGTCGAAGTACTGCTTTGGAAGAGGTGCTGTGCTAAGTGGGGTACAAATTGAACTGTACTCAGACAAGCTGTTGGGAGAAGTAAAGGCGGAGTAAACATATATATTAGTGGTAATAATGTCAGTGTTTGAGGGGCAGAGGAGGAGAGAGCCATTTTATCAAAAGTAAAATTTGTGTGTGGCATATCCATAGGAAAGGTAGGAAGGACTTGTCTGAATCTTACTGTCTTTTAACCCTGTGCTGAGGGAGGCCAGGTGGAGAGACACCCTGAGCTTTTCTGCTTGTTTCATTCTCGTGTTTAGAGTTAGGCCAGCTACTGAAGAGGAACCCCAAGGCAAAAAGCATCGTCAAACTCATTGCCTTTATTCTCGGTAGTTTTGGATAAAGTCACTAGAAGCTCCAGGCCACATCAGAAGCTATCAGAATTGGAGGACAAATTTGGGAACAAAATGAGTACTTAATAGTAGATTTTTATCCTAGTGAAGTTAGCTTAAAGCAAACAAACAAAACAAACCCCTTGGTATTATTCTCCTGTTTTGATGAAATTCGGAAAACAATATAACCTCTTAATTTTGTATATTTGACTTACCTCCTCTTTCGAAAATATTTCTTCCCCTGGAAATCTCAATTTTTATTCAATGTAATTTAAGATTAAATGTGTTGTGCAAAATTATGTCTATTGCACGTAGCAGAAGAGCAAAGATAAACCAGTTCTAAGCATTTCTCTCATTACTTTCTCCTCGGAAAAAGGTCATTTGCGGAGTGAAAGAGTGATTAGATAATATTGGATATTAAACAACAATTTTGTATACTGACAGTGTTACTGTCACTTTAGATGTTAGCCCCCAGTGTGTCTCACTGATTCTTAGATCTCCTTCACTCTGTTTACTGCAGATTGTGTTCTAGTAGTGTCATCAGTCTCCAAGAACCTGAAATTGTTGATATTGATCAGCTTCATAAATTACCTATATATAAATGAACTTCTCATAGCAATGTTTTTTAGTCAGCATCTTGACAATAAATCCTTGGTGTTCAGTTTAGATCTTAGTGGCAGGATTCAAATTGACATGTCATATTTCTTGTTTGTGGGTTGTGTGGAGGGTTTGCAGTAGCTCAGAAGTTGACCTGCCTTTTAAATGGAAATCTGCTTCTACATATGAGGCATAAATTCCTGTCTAACTGTGACTTTATTTAACATATTTAAAGAGAAAGCATTTAGTTGTGAAAGAAGAGTAGACAACTGCTTTTTAGACTTAAGGAGTTCAGCATTTCTGTTAGGAGTCAAGGAGTAGAAGGGATTCCTGGGATTCTTCTAGACTTGTTCTAGATGGTTTGTTTCTCTCTAAAGAGAGTTCCTTAAACTTTTAATTTGTGACTTTGGTTTAAGAGACTACTGAGGGGTTTGTACATATAGCAGTGGATGATCAAATCTTTCTATAGTTGCTTCATCATTATTTTAATATTAAGACATTGAACATCATTCGTACTTCAGAACCAGATTATAACAAGGCAGTGCGTGAATCTCAATTATTGTGTTCCAGATAGTTAATACATAGCAGATGTCAGCACTCTATATGGATGCCTTTTACTATACTTGGACAGTTTTTAAGCAACTGAGTTAAGTTAGTGTATAAATAATTTAGAAAAAGAAATATCTGTGCCAAAAAGCCTGATTCTAAGAGGAATTTCCCAAACTTTGTTCTTTAAATGGCAAATTAAAGCCTAAAATAGGAAAAAAAAAATATGCATGCATGCAAATATCATACACCACTTTTAAGCTATTTGTCCATACAAGTGTTGTTCAATTAAATGGAAATGTGGAATATTAATTAACTCATTCAAAACCCATTAAAAGGGTAAAACCCAATTTACATCTTAAACATATTGCAATAAGCTTGTTCCTCACTTTGCCTTTTGGTACAGATTTAAACTGACCTAGTGTAAAAATTTACAGGACTTAGTTGTCAGGAGGTGAACTTCATCACCTTGGTGCAATTGATTCTCATTTTTCACCATTCTACAAGTGTGTATCTCCCTGACAGGAGCATGTATTTTGGGATCTTTTTTTTTTTTTTTTTTTTTTTTGAGTGCTTACCATATCCATAGTTCTTACTCTGTTTTCAAAGTTGTCTTTTGAAAAGGAAATGTTTCTTCTACTTTCAGGCTCATCTACTTCTAGTGATCCCATATGGTCTGGCCATTCACCACCACCCCATCAAGAAAATTGGGTCAGTTTTGCAGATACCCCACCAACCAGTGCTCTTTTAGCCATGCATCCTGCTTCTGTCCAGGTGTGACACTTAATTGGTATTTGATTTGCTTCATTCAGACTGATGTTGCAATCTTTTTTTTTTTTTTTTTTTTTTTTTTTTTTTTTTTTTTTTTTTTTTTCGGGGTTTTTTTTTTTAACTGTTTTTTTGTTTTTTTTTTTTTTTTTTTTTTTTTTTTTTTTTTTTTAGTAGTTTTCATTGCAGGATGTTTACTGTGTATCTGTGCTGGAGTCTGATCAGTGGTATTTACCCAACAGATACTTGTTGCATTGAGTTGACTTAATTTGGAATGATTAACTGAAAGCTGCTAATTTAAAAAACGTCAACAATTATGACTTTAAAACATTTGTGTTTAGCTTTTTTGCATATGTACCATCCTTTTTTTTTCTGCTTACATACCTGCAGTCATCCATATCCATATGTATCAGTGTGCAAAAATACCCTGTCATTATCCTGTAGATGCAATCTGCTGATAGTTCCATCAGTTCTTAAACTACTGCGAGATTTAACTATGCTTTGTTTTTTGAAGGCAAGAAATTGAGACTTCATAGAAGCATTTTAGGTAGATAATACTGAGGAAAAATATTTCATTTCAGGACCAGACAACAGTACGAACTGTAGCATCAGCTACAACAACAAATGAAATTCGTAGGCAATCAAGTAGTTATGATGACCCCTGGAAAATAACTGATGAACAAAGGCAGTATTATGTTAATCAGTTTAAAACCATTCAACCTGATCTAAATGGATTTATACCAGGTAAGTTACTCTTTAAAAAATATAATTGTTGGGTGCAGCAGATCTGTTACAAAGAGTTTCTTGTTTCCTTAGGTTTGCATACCATTTTGAAGAAAGTTCTGCATTTTACCAATGATGTTCTAGTGAAGTCCAGTGTAATTTAAGAAAGGACTTTAAACTAATTTGCCTTTTTCCTTCATTTAACCCTAGTAATTAATGCCATTTTTCCCAAAACCTTTGCTAAATAGCTCATCACCTCCTTTACCATATCTATAAGTCTTACAATGATTTAACTTGCTTTAAATATTAATGACAGTTGTTGTAATTTTTCAGGATCTGCAGCTAAAGAATTTTTCACTAAGTCAAAACTACCTATTCTTGAACTTTCTCATATTTGGTAAGTATGATCTTTCTTTCTTCATGATAATTATTTAGAAAGATGATAGCTATCTAGCAGTCATCCAATAATCTACTTAATAGAAAGTGTTATTCATTTAAATGTGACTAGTACTCTGTATGTTTAGTCCTACTCACATTTATGCCAGTATTTAGCAGGCTTTAATGAGTCTAGGCTGGCGCTGTTTACAAGGCATTTTGAGCTTTTGAAGAAATTTCAAACACTTCAGAGTAAGAAGTAATTTATTTGAGATTTTTATTGTTAAATATGCCTTTAAATTTAAAGAATTAATTCCTTATCTATATTTATTTAAATCTTGGGTTTAAATGAAATGTACAGATGTATATATTTTTAAATGCACTTAGTGGGACAATTTTAGTTTTGACTTGGTGAAAGGCTTGTATTTCATTGAATTCTGGAATTTGTACTGCATCATTGCATGCTATCATTAAATGACTTATCTTGGAAGATTTGATCTTTCTTTCAATCTAATGATTTCCAAGTCAGGTATTTTCCGATTTAAAATAAATTACTTTGTTTCAGTGCTATTGTTTCTTTAGCATGCTTTACCAAAAATCTGAGGCCAATAATATTGTGTAGTACTGTCTTAAATGAGTTTAAAACCTGTAGAGATAAAAGTGGATTTAAATTATCTTTAAGCTCTAAGAAATTTTATTAATGAAGGCTCATCTTTGAAGAATAAAGCATGTAGTACTAATGTGAAGTGTTTAATAGGGTAAAATAAACTGCATTCTTTGATCTTCCAAGTAGCATAACAGAAGTACGTCTTTTGGAAATAAAATAACCTTAAGAAATTTTATTTATACTAAATTTTCCATTTTTAGGGAACTGTCAGATTTTGACAAAGATGGTGCACTAACATTGGATGAATTCTGTGCTGCGTTTCACCTGGTAGTTGCTAGGAAGAATGGGTATGATTTGCCAGAAAAGTTACCTGAAAGTTTAATGCCCAAACTGATTGATTTGGAAGACTCGACGGGTAAGACATGCTTCAACACAGGTCACCATTTTCAGGTGATGGTGTAGCTGTTACTGTATCAGCAGATATTGATAGGTTTGTATGAGCATGACCCATTAGTCAGTATGGACCAGTTAGAACAAGTCCAGAGAAGGGCCACCAGGATGATCCGAGGGCTGGAGCACCTCTCCTATGAAGACAGGCTGAAAGAGTTGGGGCTGTTCAGCCTGGAGAAGAGAAGGCTTAGGGGAGATCTTATAGTGGCCTTCCAGTACCTGAAGGGGCCTACAAGAAAGCTGGGGAGGGACTTTTCATAAGGGCAGTTAGTGACAAAACAAGGGGAAATGGGTTTAAACTGAAAGAGGGTAGGTTTAGATTAGATATTAGGAAGAAGTTCTTCACTGTAAGGGTGGTCAGACACTGGAACAGGTTGCCCAAGGAAGTTGTGGATGTCCCCTCCCTGGAAGTGTTTAAGGCCAGGCTGGATGAGGCTTTGAGCAACCTGATCTAGTGAAAGGTGTCCCTGCTGATGGCAGGGGGGTTGGAACTAGATGATCTTTAAGGTCCCTTCCAACCCAAACCATTCTATGATTCTATGAAGTAAACCAGTGTGCAACTTTTAAGTATTTTTATCAGTGCTCAGAGCTAATCTGAGCTCATGTATTTCTGTACAGGGAGATGTTATTTAGGAGCAGTACAGATATTTATTATTACATTTAGAAATATTGTCTGTGTTCTTTAAAGGTTAAGGAAAACAAGATTGTCAGTTTGGATTTTATTAATGATCAACTATTGTATTCCAAATTCCCAATCCAGCTGTACTTCAAACTTGCTTTCAAATGAATATGCTTTCTGTTCACCCTCATTTCTGAAAATATGACATGAGTTTAAGTCTTGAAGGTACCTAGAAAATATTCCCAAGTGCAGTGCTAGAGGTAGGACTGTGTAGTTTGAAAGTACAGGGTTAGTAGCACAATTTTTTTTATTTTTTTTATTTTTTTTTTAATTCTACCCCTGAGTTGACAGCAGGATTTCTCTTCCATTACTTTGGCACCTTATTTTTCAGTGCATAGTTCTTTACCTTTGGATGCTCCCAGATAAACCATTGAATGTATGTTCTGCTTGTTAATATGTGCCAAAAACTCAGTCCCATAATTGAAAAGCAAACTACTGTTCCATGTAAAAGTTATGTTTAAAAACAGGATGCTTGTGGCTGTCTTCCTTTTTTTTTTTTTATTTTAAAACAGATAAAGGAAACTGCTTTAGATTACTTTTTAACAAGCAGTCTTTGCTTGGAAAGTCAGGTTATACACTATGTGCACAGGTGCTATGACTTCCTAGAATTTTATTTCTTTTTACTAAATACTTCAAAGAGGGTCTCTTCATACTGTGTTTGTAGGATGACAGAGACTTTCATCTGACAATTATTGACGAGTTCTTAAACTAATCTGTGGCTCTTACTGCTTCTGCTTTAATAATTAAACCATTTTTTGTGGGAGAAGCTTGTCTCTTCAAAGAACCTTTCCAACAGCTGTCAGCAGCTGAAGTGTTTTCAGTATGAGTAAGCATTTTACTATGACAAAGACATTCATAAGAAATATCTACAATTAATTGGCTGAATAACTAGCAAGTGCCTAAAATCTACCCATTCTGTCTATTTTTGTGTAAAGGTGGTGGCCAAGCAAAAATCCTGATAGGAAATAGAGTAACATTTATTTGTATAAAACCATTGTTATTTTAAAAAACCCCACTATATCTGTGCCTGATCTGCTGCTACACATACTATGTATGTTAAATTACATGAGTTCAACTTAAGGACTGTAAATCAGCCTAGAAAGGTCAACCAGTTAAATTTCTGTAGTAATATTTTCTTTTTCGTTCCCATAAAAGCTGTATTTCAATAAAGCTTCCTCCCAACAGCCTTCTCAGAAGTAGAAGCTGTGACACCAGAGTGTCCTTTTGAGTGCATTTTTTTCATGGGATACAACTTTCTCAAAGAAAGAAATTGTTAGTGATCTGCTGTTGACTGAAACCTCAGTGTGAATAACATACTTCGAAACTGTTCAAGAAGGTGAATTAATTGAATGTCTCTTTAAACCAATATGCAAGACGGTAAACTTTATTTCAGAAGTATTAACAATACTCTTAAATCTGACCTTTGGTTAGCAACTTTTTCTGTCATCTTCCACGCTTCTGCTCTGTGCTTGAAACTTGCTGTCTCTTTCCATTTTGGCTCTTGAACTAGTGGTCAGCAGAAAGAAAAGTACCAGAGGGCTCCCTGCACCCTTTGTCTGTTCCGAGGGAGGAAGGGGAAAGCTCTTGTGGTCCGTGTCAGCCTCTCCTTCATCATCCCCTGTGAATCCATTGTGTGACCAGCTGCAGGTCTCCCAAACCCATTAACGTATTGGTCTTGTCTTACATCTGGTTTTGTGACCAGGGTTATGCATTTCTCTCACATGGCATAGACCTATTGTATAATAACGCATTTATATAATTGGTCATTTTTCTGATGTAGTGCTATGCCCCCAATAATTTTAATAGAAAAAAATGTTAAATGAGGTGCTGATATCTTTCTGACTAGGGAGAGAGTTGAGGTGTTTCAATTTCTTAGAATAATGTGGTAATTCTACAGTACATTTGAATGGTTTTAGTATTTTGAATTGGATCATATATTTCAAAGAATTACTTGGATTGTAGCGGCTCCACTGAAGATTTAACTGTGTTGCAGTATTTGTAGATAGATAATGTCAGCTCTTCAGAATGAGCAAGATCTGTTTGCGTAAGAACAGCCTGTAGAGGAAAACTACAGTGAATGAAAATGGAAGCACGAAGTCAGGCAGTTGTACAAACACTTCTCTAAGTGCTTATCCATTTATTTTATGAATTGAATACTGTTGAGAGCACCTGTATCTATCTTGGCAGAATTTATGATCTGCAGCTGAAAAGAGTACTAGTTTCAGTTCCCATTATGTAAGTGAATGTGAATGTTTCCCTTTTTTCCTTAATTTTATCTCAGTTAGTAAAAGCTGACAGCCCTTTACAGAACTCAAAAGTAAGTTCTGCTTTTCTGTGAATCTGGTTTTTGTTTGGGCTGCTGCAAAAATGCCATTTCTTTGTAAGAAAAAGAATCTACTGTGCTTTGTGTCTTGTGCAACTTTATTACTTTAACTGCTGAAGTTTTCCATAGGTGTCTTATGTGTTTTGTGTAGATGTTTGCAAAATTCCTTAAATTACAGGTAGCTGCACAGTCTATCCACAGCAGTTTTCAGCCTTATCTTTGACCTTGTGTTTAACACTCGTAGTTAGTTCGCTTATCTGATGCACAACTGTTGAGGTGAGAATTTTGAGTGTTTTGAGGTTTTTTTTAACTCATTAGAAGATTTTTATTCATATTACCCTTCAGAGCAGTTTATATTAATTCCCAGAACATTACCACTGGCATGTTTTGAACTTAGTATATTATTTTGTGTGCAGTGACCACAGTATGTCATTTTGACTACTTGGTGACATCATTGTGCCTGTAAATACCTGCTAGATGTAAGCTGTGTTTTACTGACAGGTGCTGTTTGCCTGAAATAGGTATTAAATGCAGTTTCTATCTGGAATAATTTGTAAAGCCATTTTCCCTAAAGGATATTACAAGATGCTGGATGCTGGGCACAGTTTTGGGAACATTGAGTCTCAAGCTGATGCCTGGCTATTTACAGGAAGTTTACAAGACCTTTGAAATTTTGATGAGTTACTGGTTTCTGTGTGTGGCTTTTTTCATGTCAGTAGCACCTCGGTCTCCCTTGGCCTCAAGATGGGACAATTAACTTATTTCTGGGCTTCAGCGATTTGGCTGTTCTTTTTAGGCTGTGCCTCTTGCTGTCCCCAGCAGCACTTTGGAGACAATAATGGGGTGGTGGTGGTTTTCAAAGGTGCAGCTGGTCATGATTGACTGTTCAAGTGTTTCTAGTTTACACTTTTTGTTGGTGACAGTTTTACACACCAGTTCCTGCCTCCTCCGGTCCCACAAGCCATGCAGCTTGATTTGATGCTGAATTTGTTAGGAGTTTCTTTTGAATGGAAGACAGCAGAGTATTGAGCTGTTGTAGCAGAAGAGCAGGCTGCTGAGTTCAGCTCTTCAGGAGCCTGAAACCGGTCCTTTTGAGAAATTTTAATCAGTTTTTTGTATAGTATATCAGTTTTGTGGCAGTCATCTTCAATCACATATCTATCAGGTAGTCCTAAATGGTAATTTAATTAAACCATCTTTCTTCTTGTGCAGTATTTTGTCTTGTTCAGAGTTTTAATTCTTTGGGCTACAAACATCCTGTTAATGTTGAGCTACTTATCAGTCACTCTTTTAACTGTATGTGTTATACAGTTGTAATCTGAACTTAGTTTTTTGAGGCTTTCAGTGCGTTGCTTTAGCTTGTATTGTGGTATCTAGCAAAACAGAAGACACTGTAAGCCAGATTTTACTGTGTTATGCAGAATAATTGATCTGCTGTTCAGTTTTACTTCACCCAGTTCTCTTATAGAACAGAAAATAAGTGTGAAAAATAAAATGAGAAAGTAAATGAAAATTTATACGACTGTGTGAGGAACATCAGATCGGGACACTCTGAAGGCGTGTTTCTGCAAGGGACTGTACTTGCAAGCTCAGAGAACACTGAAATAAGAGTAACAATGTACAGTTGCAGTGTGACAGCTGCTAGACTTGTTCAATTTGCAAAATGTAGTGAATGGCAACACCATTGTTTTAGTAAGGAGGCTTAAAACTTAATATTCTTTGGGGACTGACTTAAGGGAATTTTTCTTCATTTGTTTTCATATTTTTTGTTTCTCTTTGTATTGATACACTGGTTTTGCTTTAACGTTTCATATAAGGAAGTATTTTATTCTGCAAGATAAACTTCAGTGCTGGGTTTGATGTAATAAACATTAGTGTTATTTTTTTTCATAATGTAAGGAAATTATATTTATTTCTACATGTAAGCAGAGTCTAAAAATGCCATTTAAAATCCAAAATACAGGGAGATAGTATGGTACTGAGTCATCTTCAAAGTCCACTTTTCATAAAGATCCTCAAAGTAAGAGTAGCACCTGATAAATAGTGTACTTGACTTGAGTGAGTATTGACTTTGCATGAGATGTGAGCAGCTTTTCTGAAAATAAACTGAATGCAATTCATTTTGTTTTATAGTGATTCCTCTCTTTTCAGAAGTTGGGGAACAGACTGGTGAGGTAGGTTACTCCAGCTCGCCAGCAGAAGCACCTCCAAGCAAGTCTCCATCAATGCCATCCCTAAACCAGACCTGGCCGGAATTGAATCAGAGCAGCGAGGTTAGCACTTTTATTTAAGTTATTTCATTGCCAGACAAGAATTGAATTGTGTATGCATCCATAGTTCATTGTAAGTGGATTGTTGATCACAAATTGTGAAAAAGTTCAGCAG